GGGAGGTAGATAAGAAGGAAGCAAGTTGTTAAGGAAAAAACAAAGGACCTGAACCAGAAAGGAAGTTGAGCACATGGAAACCCTCACCCCAATCGCATCAACTTGTAAATCAACCCAGCAAGGACTTTTGGGGATAAAAAGGGGTCCCAAAGCCCGCCCACTCTGAGTCACCTTTGGATCCAGACTTGGCGGCTTTGCTTCCTTCCCTCTAGCTAGTGCCTGGCAGCCTAGTTGGGAAGGAAGGGAGGGTGGATGAGCGTGCGTGGGTGCGTGTGTGTGTGTGCGTGTATGAGAAAGAGCAAATGTACCTTGCAACCAGTTTTGCTGTTACTTTAAATTCACTGGGTCTCCATGTATTACAAAGAACCCCTTGTGCCTCAGTGTTCGGTTGGAAGTGATTTGTGTATATCCCTAATTATTTTCCGGCGGTTGACAGGGCTGTGTGTCTGTCTGCTCCAGCCACACTTATTTGGAAAACCCAGGTAGAAAGCAAGGGGGGCTGACAAGATCCATGTGCCTCAACAGGCTGTGAGTGTGTAAGTGACCATAAGCCAAACCTGGGAGCAGCGTGTGTAACAATTGCCCAATACAGATGTATTAATTTACCACCAAGGATGACCCCAAACACACCAATGTTATGTGTAGTCTTGAAAGGCAGAAACTATTACTTGTGCCTGCAGAGACCAACCACAAAGTATCTTCTGTGTAAACATTTTTTTTTTAACTTTCTTTTCCAAATCATAGTTCATGTAGGAGTATTCTAGGTCCCGTCTATGAGTTCATACTGTCACCTTGTGGTCACACAACTCACAAATTATTCTAAAATAGGATTTCCTAATGCTGCTGCTTTTAGGAATATCTGATCAGGCTAACATACACAACATGACAATTATCTATATCAGCCTTCCCTGAACTGGCACTGACCAGAAGGGTTGGGAGTTGCAATCCCAATGCATCTAGAAGGCATTGGGTTTGGGAAAACTGACCTACTGCAATTAAGCCATTTAATTTCATTTAGCTATTTCAGAGAAGCTGAAGTTTGATAAGGTAATTTAGGCCATACAGGTAGTCCTTGACTTACAACCACAACAGGGACCAGAAAATTCATTGTTAAGCAGTGCAGTTAAGTGAGGCATCACACGACCGCACCCAATTCTACTTTTGCCACGGTTGTTAAGCGAGACATCACGTGACCTCAACTTGTGACCTTCTCTGCTGGCTTCTCCATTGACTTTGCTTGTCAGAAGCCAGCTGGGAAGGTCGCAAATGGCAATCACATGACTGCAGGACACTGCAACTGTCATAAATGTGCAATGGTAGTCAAGCGCCCAAATCATGATCATGTGACTGCAGGGACTCTGCAGCAGTCATGTGAGGACCGGTCATCATTTTTTTCAGCACCATTGTAACTTTGGTCATTAAACTAATGGTCATAAGTTGAGGACTACCTGTGCGTGTTCATCCTCTGTTCAGCCAAGAATCCAAATATAGTATCCTACAAACAGGTCTCCTATTGTGTTGCAAGCCACCTGAAAAAGGGGCACCTGACACCTCCCCAAATTGCTGTTACCATTAGGTAGTTGTACTTATTTAACCAACATGTTTCCCTCAGACTTAAAACCATTATTTTGTGACCTCAATCCAGGAATAGAGAATAGCTCATGCTATCTTCTGAGATACCCTTCTGGGTACCTGAGGAGAGCAATCACCTCCCACCTTAATCTCTCCTTATAAGGCATATAATATAGTTCCCATTTCTCTGATCTTAACTTTCCTTCTTGGAATCCATTCCACTTGGTCTTAATCTTTCTTAAAGTATAGAGCCTAAAACTGGGCCAAGTACTTAAGTGGGGACTGATCAATACAAAATGAAAGTGAACTCTTACTTCCTATGATTTAGAAAGTAATACAGAAAGTATTCCTATTGATGCAGCCCCAAATTACCTCTGTACTTTTTTGCTGCCATGTCACACTGCTGACCTATATTCAGTTTGGGATCAAGTGCGATTGCTAAGTCTGTTTTACAAGCATTATTTATAGAACTAGAATTAAGTGTTTGTTGAATGAGTATTATTTTCAGAGTACATTAAGATGCCTTAAGAGACACTTCCATGCTGGTGCTATTCTCCTGTTCCCAGAAGGAGCAAAGCTGGTGGATCATCACTGCCCTTTTTCCCGCAAGTCTAATCATCTAAGTGGTTAGAATATTTATTTGCTTATTTCAAATACACACACACACACACACACACACACACACACACACACACCCCTTTATTATATAGAATCAACATTGATGTAACAGCCCTATTCAGTTGATGGGCAGGTACAGTAGCATGAATTGGTTCTGATAGAAGATAAAGAATATGAAATAGGGTATGTTGCAGAGACTTGAGTGGGAGACGGGATGGACAACTTGTGATTGTTCAGATATTATTGGACTCCAAATTCAAGCAGTCATTAAACATCTAAACAGAAAAATGATTTAAAATGGAAGTCAATTACAAATATACTTGAGCTGACATTTGTAAGAGTAAAATCAAATTGCTATTTTCCAGTGTTCACTACTAAGCACCTGTACAAAAAGGGTTTAAAGCTATTTGGGAAATTGTGTAAACTGGCCTTGGGGTGCCCCCTTGTGGGCTGCATCAGACAGACTTAGAAATCTGGGCAAATGCTACTTTTTCAGCTGCTGGGATGAAGTGACTTTGAAAAGCTAAGAAATTGTGTCCAAGGAACAACATCTTTTACCCAAAAGAAAATCAATCTTTCTCCAAAGCAGGCCTTCCTGATAGGGACTGCATGGGAAAATAATTTTATAAAATCTCAGGCCTTGGTGGGATCACGACCAATTAGGCAAAATCCTACATTCCGTTTAGAGCCTAAAATTTAGACTATCTGGCTAATACAATAGATAAATGATTACTATATTAAATGGATTGGAAATCAAAACTTTTTATGCAGCATGCCCCTATGAAATTTAGAAAGTGTGTTATTGCAAATTATTATTTTTTCCTTTTTTAATGATGAGATCTTATAGTTTAGCTATCCACAGAACTAACTCAAAGTGGATAGAAGGAAACCACAGGACTGAAACTGTTTGCCATGAAACCATCTGAAGCAATACAATGAAATTTAGCCACTCCTTCAATTACTTATTTTTCCTGCTTTGATGAAACTGCATTAAATATTATTTCCAGCTAGCCATCCACTGCTTTTACTTAAACCTGAATCTGTATACAGTAGCAGCATCTGATCAGTGGGCAAAATGCAGTGGAAGGTTATGCTTAAAAAAAAAACCTTCAACGTAACTCAAAACAAAAACTTTAGCTAGAGGTACAAAAGGCTGAACCTGGGGTCTTCTGTAATTCCTGGGTTCTGCTCCTGTGGTCTAGGTCTAGACCCTACTCTCTCCAAGCCACCATTAAATCTAATTTACAGAATATCATTGTTTGCACATAACAGTGGTTTGGTGAACCCAGTGTTTTTCAAACTTGGCAACTTTAAGATGTGTGGACTTCAATTCCCAGAATTCCCCAGGGAATTCTGGGA